ATGGTGTTGAACATCCATAAGGACAGTTGCTGCAACCTTATCTGGGTGACGCTGCACTAAATCGTGATTTTTCAGATGAAAGAATTGAGACTTATGTTCTTTTGCGGGTAGTCGTCTAGTTATAGGTATCGTGGTTACATATTGAGTTCATTAGTAATAGTTGACGTACTATAAAATTGAGGACCAAGTAATAATGCATGTAGGTGAATAGTTGACAATATTATACACAACTGCATTTGGTATTTCGAATCTTGAATCACTTTACGATGCAATCTTTTCTATCCTTCTATAAACATATATTTGCCATATAACTATTAATACGAATGTGTAGTTTGAGTAAATGATTGCGTGGAAAAGAAATTTCATTTTGTTGAATCCTTTTTATGTGTGATTTCTTTCAATCTTATTGATTTCTACTCCTGATTCACTGGGTGTGACTGTTTATAATCGAATTGAATGAGGTATTATCTAGTGTTATTCTGGTTTCCTATTCTGCGTCGTGAATCCTGGTTCTGATGTAACGTGGCTAGTTATATTGTTGTAGTAAACATGAGAGAGAAAAGAATATTTCACTCTGGAATACCTTTCTAAAACAAACGTTGTATTTGTGAAGGTATTACAGGAGACAGATAAAACACCTCACTTCCATGTTTCTTATCTGTTTACCATTAATTGCTGCACATAGTTCCAACTCGAGGGAAATCTATTTAACCACTGCAGTCATTTCAAATTTTAAGTTTCTACTGTGGAATATTTGCAGTATTTCTCATCAAACATTCAAACTCATTTAAATCCATCGAAACATTGTTTCATTTACCTAACCGAGAACACGAGATCGATCTAATATCAGGATTCGCTGTCATTTACTGTACCAATGAAACTTTCAAAGTTTGTACAATTCCGTTCACCAAGCATAGGGGAGGTAAATGACATTTGTTTTGTTTGCCTACGTTAGTCATCATTTGGAATCGTCTCATATCACAAAATGAAACATGAATTTCAAACATCTATCAACTCTTGCTCTGAAACAACACTTAAGCATATTTTTTTCTCGTTTCAGGCAGGACGTTTATATTTTGGTGCAAAGTATGAAGTCATCTTTAGTCTGAAATTTAATCCATCTCGTAGTACAACCATTGTGAAATATCCAGTTCTAGTCGAAATCGTATGCAAACCCTATGAACGTGGCAGTCCTGTAGTGAATAGCTGCGCAAAACAAAGGTTTTACAAGTTCAAATCTCATCTACGTGTTCAACTTGACTACACTTGTGAGTTTTATCGGTGTGTATTTTTCCAAATTCATGTTATGATTATAAATCAACACTACCTACCAAGGAATGACTGTATTATGGGAAATACGTTTACCCTGTATGTCGGATACGTTATCTTAAATGGAAAATGCCTTCTTCACATGAATCGCTTTCTACTTATCATCGTTAAAATTTCCGCTGTTGTGAAAAAGATTTCAATCTTTGCATTGCATCCGATTATCATACTGTCATCAAGTATTCACACATACAAATACAACTTTACAACCCATCATAATTTACTGAATTTTTCTCATGCTACTGAAATCACAATCATTCTCAAAATTTGAGGTGCTTGTTAATTGCTTTCAGAGAAAAGATGAGTTAGTCCTCATATAGATTTATCAATTATTTGGAGGCTTTCCATAATGATATTTCATTTGATCATACAAAACTGCTAGTAATGTACAATCGCAAACAAAAGATGAAAAGAAAAACACTGATCTTCTTGTTGAGAAGTATCAACTAAATATGTTTGCACTGTAACTATATGCAGTTCTCTTACACTCCCCTATTAAAATGACCTCGAATTTCGTCAATCATAACCATAAGGAATGTTTGTCATTGGTTACTTATCTACAGTCACATCACATTACTGTGAAAGAATTCTCTATCATTTTATTGATTTTTGGGATAGTTAAAATAATTCTCAGTGACTCTGTGATGCGTTATTTAACAGCACTGCCTTGTATTGACCTTTTGCATTCAGATCCTCCCAACTTACCTCATTACGTTGCAATGCAGAACCCTTTGGTACAGTTGCCCGACCGTCAAGCAAATACATTTCTAAATGTTGGTGATCTTTTGTTTTATTGTGCACGTGCGTTTAGTATGAAGGGTTCATTAGATTTGGTGAGACGATGTTTCAAGATTGGTAAATTGCCTGAAAGAATTTGGTTTGGTAAGTAATCATAGACAATCTGTTGTGTTTTATTATTCAACAGTGGATATTTGAAGTTTAAAACTACATACTTACGTCTGTTACCTCTAGTGTAGGAACATAGGCCACCCACCAGCATTCTCCATCCAACTCTGTCCTGGACAACCCTTCCCAAAACTATCGAATTCCTATTCATTCTCTCCATGTCTGCTTCGAATTCGCGACGTAGTGTGTTATTCCGCCTTCCGCTTTTCCGCTTGCCTCCAGAATTCCAAGTTGGCACTTGCCTCGTGATGCAGTCTGATGATTTCCTCAACGACTGTACTATCCACTTCCATAGTCTTTTCATAATTTCCTATTCAATTGAAAATTGTTTTGTTCTCTTCCACAGTAAGTTGTTCCTGATGGTATCCAGCCAACAGAAATTGAGTATCTCTCGTAGACAACTGTTTATAAATACTTGCACTCTTTTATGATGGTTGTAGTAGTCCTCCACGTTTCAGCTCCGTACAATAGAACTAACTGTATTGACATTTGTATAGAAGATTATGTCTTTGATATTGGTTGAGAGTTGTTTTGGGTTGCATATGTTCTTCAATTCAAGGAATGTTATCCTTGCTTTGCCAACCTCACCTTTACATCTGCATCTGATACTCTTTGTTCATCGAAGATGGACCACAGGTACGTGAAAGTTTCCACCACCTCCAGGCCTTCTTTTCACTATGTGTGATTGAGTTGGTGTCCTCTGTGTTGTACTTGAGGATCTTGGTTTTTCTCCTGTGTATATTAAAGCCTACTAATTCAGAGGCTGCAGCAACACTGACTGTTTTCATCTGCATTTGTTGATGTGTATTTGATAGAAGGGTTAGGTCATGTGCGAAGCACATCCATGCACCACTTTGCACTATAGTCTGTCGCATGACTTCCGTATGATATTGGCGATCTTCTCAGGTACACCATAGTGTCGCAGAAGTTTCCATAAAGTCCTTCTATCCACACTGTCATACGACTTCTCATAGTCAAGGAAGGTGATGTATGGTGGCGAGTTACACTCAATTGATCGTTCAACAATGATCAGTAGCGTAGCGATTTGGTTTGTGCACGACCGATCCTTACGGAATCCAGTCTGTTGACCCAAAAGTTTGGTGTCTACTAAGTCTTTCATCCGTTTCAGCAACACATTGTTGAAAGCTTTTAGTCACCCGAATCTCAAACCTAATTGGATGTTTATTAAATTTATCATTTTTTAAATTACAAACAATTCCTTTCTCAATTTTATAAAACTACAGAAATCCCAATAACAAGTAAACATATGTTTAAATCAATACTCCCAATGCAAACCGATTTAATTCAACTATAGTGGACGAGAACACCATGGGCACAACCAAATTCATTACAATATAAAATTACAGAACATTCTAATAAAATCTGAGAACCACAAAATAAATACTTCATTTGCCAAATTTCAATCAATCGTCTCATACTTGATTGTTTCTTCGTTTCCATACCAAACATTCTCTATTCTTGTTCTCTTTTCTTTGATCTCAACATTCTACCACCAGGCATTTCAATTTCAATTGATGACAAACACTACTTACATCTGTCGACTTCAGCAGTCCACACCACACAACTAAGATTTAGATTAATCGACAAGTATGATGATTTCTTCGGAATAATCAACCTTTTGATAATCAGAGCTTATTACTTTGTAACAGGAGTGTCCAGTACCACCACTGTTTGGTTCTACTTATTGCCCTATTTTTACCACATTCATGATGTGCTAATCCACCTTAGTTAGTTGACAATAGAATAACAATTATCAAAAATGATTATTCATGAATGTATCGATTCAACATCCGACTCAGTTTACAAGACTTAATGTATAGAACCAAACATTATCATAATGAAGGAAAACAAATGTTTTACATTAAAGACCGACATCACAAGCTAATTATGGAAGAATTTGTACTTGGAAGGCGGATTCACAATTCATTCTCTTCATATTTTACTATTAATTATACACGACTACTTGAACTGATATATATGGTCATAAGAGAATTTTTTGTTCATGTAGCACAAATAAAGTATTTTAATAAGTCATAACTACAAACGTTTAGTATTTTAAAACATCCATTGTACAGATTCATAAAATACATAGTTGCAAAGAATTTCGGCTCATCGAAAATTTTGTTTAGGCTTATTTTGACAAAACAATGTCAGATATGTTTCGACTGATTTCTTTTCGATTCTCAGATGTCGGACCATATGTTGAACAGATTATAGCGTACACAAATCCACTTGGCATATTGTTCGGTTTGGGAGCAAATGGTGGAGGTGTAATAATGAGTAAGGATTTGGGGAAAACATGGATTTCAATCAACTCATTCATGTACCAAAGAACTTTGAATACGTCGACTGAAATCATCACAGCAAGTGTCATACCATGGATTTCATCAACTGGATCAATTGACAATACGCTGTCTGAGTCATTTTGCAAGATGCGAGTGGTTAATCAATGGAATGGTAAGTAATGTATAGTAGTAACCAGATGCTCAAACGTGTTTTCTGTCATCCCACATGAAAGTGTGCATCAAAACCTAAGAGTTTTCAATATTTCTTCAAGGTTCAGAGTCATGACAATTCCAACCGAACACATAGCTCTTGTGATATACACTAGATAGCAATAACAATATATGTGATTTTTATTGCTCATATAGTCGGTTTTTCCATGACTACATCATTCGTCTTTCACACGGTTGTCGTTAAATAGTAACTTTATTAATTCCTAATAATGCATAAATTAATTTTTGTAATTTAATGCTCAAATGAAGATGTCAACACTACATTCACATTATTTTACTGAGGTGCACACAGATAAACAACAAAATTTTAATCTGAATTGGTTTACTTCTATTGATTGATCCCACCGTTTGCATAGTTGTAAGATTTTACTCATTGTATACTGGTTTGACTGCATTCTACTATCTAGTATTGTTTAAATACGATAGATTATTATAGGAATTATTACAGCAGATGGCCAGATTTCTATGACATGCGTGTTTGGTTATACCGTGGATACAACACGCATTCGCGAACACATCGTAGCTTAGTTATAGTTCTGTTATTAACATTCGAAATATGTCTATCAAAAGTGATACTTGGTTTGAAGTTTGAGAAGTGAGTTTATCAGCTGATTGACCACCGTTTGATCTTGTTTGTTTTTACATACATCTCCTATAGTATGCATCAACGCAATTTATGCAAATGAACTTCTACTGGCAGACTGGACTAACACCTGTCCAAACATCAAGCCTTTTTAACCGATCAATCACTTTCAGTTGGAATACAAACTTTGTTCAAATATTTGTGCCTTTTTAATGTGTTCATTTTATGTTGTGTGCAATAATAGAACATTTGGTTAATTTTCTATTATATTACTTATCCTACAATTAACCGTTTTAAATAAAGTACATATTAATCACATTTGCATTATATTCTGACCTAATGAAGAGTGGCTTAAGTAGGAATTTAGCAGACTGTTGGTTGTTATTTAACTATTTTCTAGTGTAAGAACAGGATTTTTGTAAATTACAGCTTCAGTAATATCTCGAAGTTTAGGTTCAAGAAGTTTGTTAATTTATTTGATAATTATACCATAGCTGGTCACCATCGAACTATGACCCTTATTTTAGTGAAGGATAAATTAAATTTTCAACACATACTTGAGTCATCTGATGCAACTTGAATATAGTCAGTAGAATTTGCATACTAGTATTTCAGGAAATAAAACATAAGAATAAGATTCAAGACCTTCCTCTAGGCTAAATCCTTCCTCACACAGATTGATAAAGTAAAAGGAAGTCAACTGAATATGTTGTCTCAGATATTTCGTTACTACATATCAATCTGTTCAGTAGCCAGGGAACTTTACTCAATTATAAATCCAGCGTTCTTCTAACTGAAAGAGGATACAACGTTATTACGAACATTGGTTTTATTTTTTATATTTCTCTACTATATCAGTTGATAACAATCTGTATTGCGCTGCAGTGGTAAATTTTCCTCAGTTTTGCATCCATCTGTGATACCAATAAGTTATTTGGCTGACTACCATGGGCGAATTCGTTGAAAATGTACTATTTGTATTATTTTATACGAACTAAATATGCGTCTTATTTCTGGATACGCTCGTAATACACAACACTATGAAGTGAACTCTGTGTTCCATAATCCAGTGACTTTTAGTGAGAAACGGCATCTCGAACTAGTTCAGCAACTTCTATGTTAAACGGATTTAGACAAGTTATTTGGAGTTGTATAGTTTAAAGGTACATATATCAATAAACCTAATTATGACATCGATAAGTTAGAAACTTTGTGGAAGACTGTTATTAAATAAGTTCTTCATAGATAAAAAGCAGTCAATCAAATAATAATTGTAGCGTACAGAATTTTCCAACTGGTGTAGATATACACAAGAAGAAATGAGTTTAAATGACTTGGATTAGTATTTATCAAAGATCACATCCATTTTAAACAAGTTGTATGATTGCTCTGCACCCTCTAACTTGGACAATCCACTAAAAATTTATTCCAACAGACTTTCGTATTTTATTTGCAACACTATTTACTAACGCTCCATAAACACTATTCAGTGTGACAGACTACATTCTGCCGTAAAACTATCGATTACTAAAAGTATTATAGCCTATATTTGCAGTTCTTCCTTGGATTTAAGCTCACATATTTCCTCGTGAGGTGTTTGCCTTCCGTCGTATTAGCTGATGACATTGTACATAAATACTATCCTTGTTTAATATGGTTACTCTCAGTAACACAATTTTTTTCATTGCTATATGATGAAAAATACTGCTACTGTATATTCCGCCCAACATGATCCACAAAATTTTGCAACTACCAAGGTTGTAGGTGTTACAACTCTTCACCCTTTAGTAAAATATTCCTATCAAAGTGATTGATATATCGAGCTAACTTTGGTCAATGAATAGTGATTGTTGATTGTGAAATTCATTTTTAACAAAATTCATAAAATTAGTGAACGAAGTCTTTATATAAAATGTATATTAAAGGTATAACCGTAGTTTATGTTACACATTCAGTGAGGCATCGAGTCGCGGTTAACTATGATCACCACTACAAGAAGGTTGGCGACCAGATATCAGAAGGCGATTGGAAGTTGTAGCGATATATATTTGTTGGCGACCTCATGGTATCGAAAAAATACCGAGACCTTGCCAAAGGAGTACAGCGGAATCACTGAGCAAGCGTAAGTGCGGCAAGGTCACAATCAACGGAAGGAAGAATGTCTTTAGTACAGTTAAACAAACAAGTACAGTGAAACAATCACTGGTACAATTGGTTATAATATGAATTGTTTCCATTAAACCAATCGCGTTCTCTTGATAAAAGTAGGTCACTATACGAGCCCCCCCCCGCCAGAAAGGGTTTACACTTTCGGTAGGTAGCGGTTTCGTTCGTGGGACTGGTCAGCAAATGCGCGACTGTCGGACGAGAGGATTGGCGGTACAGGAAGCGATCGTTGGTACTCGAGTTGCCACCGAAAGTCTTTTATGTAGAACGGTACCAGGAGAAACGTGCTGTATTTGCTGTTCGAGTTAGCATACCACACCCGAGTGGTTTGTATCCAGGATCTGAAGACTGCGTTCTTAGGGATGCGGACCATAAAACGCTGCAGACGTAGGACGAAACCACGTTGAGCCAAGAAACCTGAAGCGACCATAACAACCAATTGCGAGACCAAACGTATGCCAGACATATTCGGAACCAGGACATCGGCTGAGCGCGTTGATAAGAGCATGGGTGATCCGGCTACAAAGAAATCAAAGAAAAATAGAAAATGTGTACCATGAATGTGGTATGGGTACGGAGTCCTATTGTGTATCCGTTGTTGCTTGCGTGGTAAGTCGCGAAAGCGTACAGGTAGGAGTACCCGGCGACCGGAACGTGAGACGTTAGTCTCATCCGTACTTCCTGAGCCTGCGATCTCGTCCGAAGTCAAGTGCGGCGTGGTCTGCTGGTCTGGACGTGAGACTGAAGTCTCGTCCGTAGATGGTGCATATGACACGTGCTGTTGACCGGGACGTGAGAATGAGGTCTCTGATGTATCTAGCGTGGGGCCTAGAGTAGATGTGAGGATCCCGCTAGTAAGTTTGATAGGTCTAGCATTGAGTCTCACGTTATCGTGTAGGGCACTGTCATCGACGTGTGCTGGTTTGAGACGATCAATGCTGACGACCTCGACGCGGCCATGCCGACCAACCTTGAAGGTCTTTTCGTGACGAGAAATCACGTGAAAAGTTACTTCGTAAGGCTGTTGCAGAGGTTTGCGTACCGAATCTACTCGTATGAAAACATGTGAACAGGTAGATAACTCCCGAGAGAGAGCGACCTGTCGATGTTGTATTTGAGTTGACACCGGAGACAGTGTTCGCATAAATGCGGAATGTCGATGGACGTAGTCTGATTTACCGAAATCGTTACTGCTCCGTGGTGTAAAGAATTCCCCAGGCAGACGCAATGTCGTGCCGTATACAAGTTCAGCAGCGGGACATTGAATATTTACCTTTAAGCTCGTTATGATACCTAAGAGGACGAGCGGTAAGGTTTCGTACCAAATGTTGTTTTCGTGTGCTCGAAGAGCACTTTTAAGTTGGCAATGAAACCATTCAACGTAACCATTTGGTGCTGCGTGGTAGACGGTAATGCGTATGCGTATGCGTCCCATACCAAGCAGCCCGGTCAGCGAGGAGAATAGTTATTAGGGGAAACTTTCTCGATTAAAGCGTGGAATTTGTCGTCACGCGAATAAAAAGTGCCAAGGGTTCGGTACACATACATGGGAGTCTATTATATTAATACAATTCTTATCGTTATCCGTCATGTCAAGTATATTATATATTAAAAAATAATATGAAAATATACGGCAGACGTGGATAGATAAACGATAGACTCACCGAATTGGCTGGCATCGAATACGAGACGACGGTAAGCAGAGAGCATGATGGGTCGGGGAAGACCGGTAGAAGTATCACATAGGGTAGTATCTGAGCCAGTAGCTAGGGGTACTTCCTGGCACTGAAGGGATGTAGATTGTGGTGTTCCTGTACAAAAGGGATCGTTTGCTTGAGCGGCAGCCATAGAAGGAAGATCGAGCAATGGTAAAGTAACTGCATTCACTTGGATACGTGACAGAGCATCAGCAACATAGTTCGACTCGACTGTAATGTGACGAGGGTCTGTTGTGAACTGAGAGATTTAGTCCATATGTCTGCACTCTCGTGGTGAGTAGCGGACAGACTTGGTATGCAGAGCATACGTTAAAGGCATGTGGTCGGTTGCCAACTTCCGGAGATGTTCTGTCGCATAACAGCTCCTATAGCGAAACCCGATGCATCAACCGCTATACTAAGCGTGGCTGATGGGTCAGGATGAGCGAGGAGTGTGAGTGGGCTTACCAGTCGTAGTGTTGCGTCGAGTCGCGT